CTTTTAGGAGTGTTGCTCCCCTTTTTTTTTAAAAAAAAAAATTCTTTTAGTGGCCCGGGAACCACCCAGAGTATGTATGTATGTATGTATGTATGTATGTATGTATGTATGTATGTATGTATGTATGTATGTATGTATGTATGTATGTATGTATGTATGTATGTATGTATGTATGTATGTATGTATGTATGTATGTATGTATGTATGTATGTATGTATGTATGTATGTATGTATGTATGTATGTATGTATGTATGTATGTATGTATGTATGTATGTATGTATGTATGTATGTATTTGATTGATTGATTGATTGATTGATTGATACCCTGCCCATCTGGTCTATACGACCACTCTAGGCGGCATACTCCCAGTATATACCACACTATCCCACTAGGTGTGGTAGAGAAATGTAATTTAAAAAGCAAACAAACCTTTGCCTTCCCAGGTGGTTTTTTGTTGTTGTTTTTTGGAATTCAACCCCCAAGAGTCTCAACCAACTGAAACATGAGCTACAGCTTCTAGGAGATAATATGAAAAACAGCTGATGGCCAAACATGGACAGCCATGGGTAGAGATGGGCACAAATCACTGGTTTGGTGGTTCACACTGGTTCGTTTTTTTTTATCTGAACAGATGATTGGCACTTCCCAGCCCCGCCTCTTCCAGCAGGCACCCACTCAGAGGCAGTGCCCAGAGGAGGCGGGGCAGGGAAGCTGGGCCGCTGCCTCTGAAAGGGCAAGCTGCTGGAGGAGGCGAGGCTGAGAAGCACGGAACACCTATTTGAATGAAAAGTGAACCGGCACAAATCACCGAACCAATGATTCATCCTCCTCTCTACCCATGAAGTCTTGGCAAAATCTTAAACAGCTGAGGCTAAGGGTTTCCAATGGCCGGAGAGGAAACTTCAGTGCATGGTCTGACAAAGATCTTCAGTAAAGTTCAGCTCAAACCCGGAGCGGATTCACCAACCCATGTAAAATTAGAGTCACTGGACGGTGCTTCTTTGGGGTGTGCTCCTCAGCAACATTTGGAATTTCTTTCCCTGCGCTAGAGGAAAGAGGAAAGCAGCTGACAGGATAGGGATAAAATATTCGATTACATTCTTTGGTATCCTAATAATAGAATCAGCAAACAAAAAAACAACAAAAAAAGGAACTGAAGTAACAGCAGGCACGATGTTGAGCAGAACTGGAAGGGGGGGTTAGGAGGAGAAAACACGTTTGCAAGATCTGATTATTTTTAGAATAAATTTCTCCCCGCCTGAAAGCCACAGCTTGTATCAGGAAACAAACAGAAGAATTCTAAATATTTGTCCTCCTTCCAGAGCCAGCTAGGAAGTAGAGTCAAATATTTTTACAGGGCAACTGCCAAATGTTCCCAAATGCCATTACGGGTCAACAATCCAACCGCACACATTGATTCTGCTCTGATGTCATATCCCAGAGGGGGAAAACAGGAACTGACCATTTGGTGGCAAGAATATTTGAAGACCAGCAAACCTATTTTCAGCATAAGTTGCGGCCATTTTTGCTGTGCAAGGAATACACTAAAAATATTCCCTTTGAAGAAAGGGGCAGCATTTCTCCTGAGCTGCTGCGTCTCTTTATTTAAAGATCACGGAGTGGCCATAAGTGATTTAGCCTCACATACCCATCAACTGGGTTTTGATCCTCTGAGCGAAGTAGTAATCCCTCGTCGATGACATCACAGCCCGTTGCCAAGGCAACAACACAACTCCCAGCTTTCTGACTTCGCCACTAGATTAACAAGGAAAGGCCCGCGTGCACAAAGGCTCGTTGAAAGACAAATATCTCCAGCAATTAGCAAAACCAGCAAAGAGAATTTATGATAATACAGCCAATCGGAACATTAATCCAATTTAGAAGCGTGATCTGTCCCAAAGTGCTCCCCAGCGAGAAAGCAGGTCTTTGAACAGCCCTTTCATTCTTAAGTAAACCGAAATCTGGGAATAATATAGAACAGGATGGCGGTTTGCTTTATTAGCCATTTCACCGTGTAATTTACAAGATCATTAAAGAATTACAACCTGAAGTTTTTAGGAAGTTTCTGTCCTGCTCATGAACCTATATTCAATTTGGGTCCAAAATCAGAGAGTAGCCAAGGGACTCCCTATTTCTCTATAAAAACAAAAAATTGCCACAAGGCAGCTGTGTCGGTCCATTGCATCAAACGAAATGAACCACCCCGTGGGCTCCTTAGAAAGAAAAAAGTTGAATCTGGCCCAGACTCGGGTGGACCCCTGACTGCTTTTTATAGACGAAGACCGGAAGTCACAAAACACCATAGTCCTGAAGGCGTCACAAGACTCTTTTCATTACAAGTCAGCTTCCCACATTCAACGTGTGCCCTGGTGGGTCCATGAAAAAGTGCAGGGGTGTGGAATGCGTCCACCAGGCTGGTGCTGAGTATAAAAATGTTCAACCACATCTCCCTGCTCCTGGCTCACCTACACTGGTTGCCTGTGCCATTCCGAGTTGCCGTATTTTTCCATATATAAGACTATACTTTTGTCTAAAATCTTTAGACTAAAAATGGAGGGTCGTCTTATACACGGAAGTAAGCTGAGGAGAGAACAAAAACAAGTGGAGTGGAAAGCAGGGCTCAAAGCGATCCTGCAGCGCTTTGATCCCTTTCCCCCTACACTTGCTAATCCCCACTTAGATTTCTTAATTTTAGATTTAAAAAGTAGGAGGCATCTTATATATGGGGGCGTCTTATACACATGCTCCTATGGGTTTCCACTCCAAGAGAGGCCACAATGACATCCACAAGGAATTGAGCCTTCTTGGTTATGGCGCCATCCCTATGGAATGGGTTCCCAATGTAGCTGCGCCTGGCCCCCTCCATCCATCCCTTTCAGTGGATGCTAAAAGGGAGCCTGTTGGAACGAGCCTTTAGCGGTGTCCTTGGTTAAAGGTTTTTCAAGATTTTTGCCACCATGAACTCCAAAATCTGAATCCCAGGATCAAAGCCTAGAATCTGGTCACCTCATTAAAAACACCCACAAAAACCGATCAGCAGATCCAATGACAATGCAGGAGTTAAAGTTTTAAAAAGGGGAAGGTCAAAATTGCCCACCTTAGCGGTCCTTCTGTTAAACTCTTTTGAAGTCCTCAGCACATTTTCGCTCTTTTCCTATCATGTAACTTTGAGGCGGAACAGCACAGGGCTTGAGCGGTAGGTGGACTTCCCATCTCAGGCTTCCAAGCCAAAATTAATGCCTTTTTAATTTTGCCCCTCTCTCATTGATCCAGTCATTCCAAAGACGCCTGATAAAAATCATTCATGATATTGCTGTTATTTATTACCGCCTGGCGCCACGCCACAAAAATGGTTCACCTACCGACCGTGATGCAAAACCCGTAATGAACCCTTCTTCATTTCAGAAAGAGAATGCGAGATAAAGAAAGCACTTCCTCAAAAGCTCAAGGTGTCTTACGACAGATAAAATAGCAAGATAGAACAGATAAAATTAAATTAAAGCACCCAAGAACATCGGCGCAAGATGACAGAACCCACCGAGGACGTGTCAGCCTGACTCACGTAATGTAGTTCAAGCAAAGAGCAAAAATGGCCCACAGGATATAAAGATCTCCCAACCCATCTTAAAAACCAACAAAGACTTGCAACATTATAATTGGGATGGAGAAACAGGAAATTATTCTATTGCCTTCAGGGGCCATCAGTGAGAAAGCCCTGCTCTCAGTTGGAGAGATCTCTAAGTGATCCAGTGGTTCTTCTTTAGTGCTTAGCTCACTCACAGTATTATCTATGGTCTAACACTGTAGCATCAGGATGGGTCAGGCTTGTCTTACGGATGCATGAGAATCCATTCATTGCTATACATTCATGAAAAACTCCTAGGCAGGTCTTCTCAGAAGTAAACCCAATGGGACTTATTCTTAGGGCTACATATAGAAGGACAGCCATCAGCTACTTGGCTGAGCTACGAGAACCAGAATGAACCACCAGTTCAGGACACGGAAGCTGCTACGAAAATGGTGGCCACCAGCCTTCCTCAGAGAACATTTGTGCTACCACAACCACCACCAACACTAACTGCTAAATTTCTTTTCTTGCTCTGATTTCCTGCGTTACAGACGGCCGACGCGGGGCAAAGCCTCTGGCCGGCAAATCCCTCTCGTCGCCAATGAACTGCAATCACAGATAATATTCTCTGTCTGGCATTTTCATTTAAACTGGCGTCAGTTTAAAATAGAGTCAAGGATCACTGCAGAACAGATTGGCTAGAACTCTCCAGATGTGGGGAGGCAACTGGCTGTAGGGGAAAGCATGCCAAAGGAAGACTGTTATTATATTATGGTCTGCTCCTGTGCTATTTTTACCTAAAGCCCCCCTCCCCTCCCAAAATGGCGTGCATACACACAGATCATACCCTCATCACTCAATGATCAGAACCTCGACAACACAGAACGGCAACATTTGAACATTGACAAGAGAAATTCAAAGCTGCAATAGAGGAAGCCATCTCGCTTCGGCAGGGAAGCAAAAGGCAGGGGACAATATTCCTTAATGATCCTAAAATCCCCAGTGGGGAGAAAGCGGTCTGAGACCTCTCTCCACATAGGACTTTCCAGAACCAAGCAGCTGCCAAACTCTTTTGCGCACTCCAGTTTGCCTTCAGATAAGGGCGAAAGCAGGGTTTCAAAACAAAATTACATTTTGAGACTACAGCTACCCATGATCTTGAAGCCTGGCATGGGCAGTGGGAGGTGCCAGACAAGGGGGGGAAAAAACTTTTCCAAACCCCAGATGCATGTGCCAAAAGGATAAAGATGTGAAATGCACAGATGCCCTAGGTTTGTTCAGCTCTGTTGAATTTTTGAAGGGATGCTTTTGAATCACCTGTGAACCAGGCCACCTGCTGAATCGTCGGACCCCCTGATGTTGAGCTAGGAGGAAACGGACCACACATCTTGTTCCTAAAAAGGCATTTGAAGGCAATGGAGGGTGTTTACCGGGAGCTTCATCCTTTCTCTATCGGCAGGCAGGGTGGTGGTGCTGACCGCTGTCTCTGGGTGACATTCAGACATTCTGCAGCCGCCAAGGGATTTAGCCACTGGTCACAGCTGGAACTCCTGTGCCAAGCAACACAAAGAAAAGGGGAAAAAAGGCTTGGGTTAGAGAGAGACAGGCAATCAGAAACAGGACATGAGAGGGGTACTATTTTTATTGTTCAATAAGTTTCACAAAAATGCCCGAACCATTGTGGGAGATGATTAACCAACACAGCCAAAGGAGGTCAGCGGGAGGGAAAGTATCTGCTTTGGAATACACCTCCCAGAATCCCCCAGCCAGTGTGGCCAGCGGGAGGTGTCATCTTCCAAAGAACCTTTTCTAAGCTCTGGGTATGGACCACTTACCAAGGTTCCAAAAAAAATGTTCATTTAACACCAGGAGATGCATCCCTGGGAAGAAGAAAAGAACTGGGACACGGGATTGGCCGACATCCCTTTGCATAGCAAAATCTGATTGGCCCCCTGGGTCCATGACATCGTCACCACCCCCATGATCCCTGATGGGCTAGGATCTCCCCATCAAAGGCCACTTTCAGGGGAAAAAAGAACATCATGCTACGGCACCCGCTGGGTGGAAAAACAGAGGCTACAAAGAGAGCCATACAAACGAAAGCAAAAGGCGAAAGCGAAACAGAGTGGGAGACGGGGGATTTTTCACAAATCTGTTTTTATTCTTTGGAATAGGAACCTTAACCGTGAAAAAAAAATGTAAAACAGCACAAAAAGAGTTGTTTCTCAGCAACTGCTGGGGGCCTTCTTGGTTCCTTCCCCTGATTCTAGAGGGAATGATGGGTTGCCCCCTTCCTCCGGTCCTTCTCTCCATAGCAGTGCAGCTGGACGCCTGGGGCATAAAATTTGTCCCACTGAATACCCTATTGACTATTTTCTGCCTAATGTCTACAATGAAAAAGAGAGGAGCCAAATAGACCCTGATTTCCCATGTTTCGTGCTTTATTACAGCGCCTGCCTCTGCTGATTAGTTCGTAGTTTTCCTGCTAGGTCTTCCTGAGCGGGCCAGATACTGTTTCGTACCTTTTATCTTCATCTCCTCGGGCTGGTTAGATCAGTCCAGCTTTTGAGAGCAGCTCTAGACTGAAAAAAAAAACCTCAGCCAGAAGCTAGGAACTCTACTGGTTGATTCCTGCCTCCTGCTACCCAAGTCGCTGTCAACCACCCTGCAAGGTGGATCATTAAGTGCTCCAAAGCTCAGGTTAACAGAGAAGTAGTTCAGTCTAACTGTATTGGAATTGGAGGTAAGTGCTTACTGTTAAGCAAGAAGATCTGCCTTGCAGTAACTCTCTCCCGCCGACCCTGTAAAGACTGCCAAGGCTGTTTGGACACATCCTCTACGTAAATCTGGAAGTCTTGATATTTGCTGTTCCCTTTTCCTAACCTAACCTTTGAGAAAAGCCGTCTCCTCGACTCTCCTGGTTATTACAGCTTGTCAAGGAGGAACACGGCCTTCCGTCGCCAGATGTTTGATCTCCAAAATAAAATGGGGAAAATCTTTTGAAAATGGCAGTGAGTGGGAGAGAGAGAGAGAGAGAATGAGCTTGTTTTGGAGGTAGGCGGGCTGGAATATTTCTCTTTTCTTTTAATGGGCTGCTTATTACACCAAGAGGCATGGAGGCTGGCTTTTTTTTTCCTAAAAAGAGAATATTTTCATGTAGCGTTACTGCCTCAGCACAGAATCCTGAACCCGGCTTCTCCCCCTGGCCATCTTGGAGCTGGCTCCTGAAGGACTCATTCTGTTTTCAAAGACTTCTCCAAGGATGCTTCTCAGTGTCTGAACAGGATCCTCCAACTTGAGTGGGACCCACTTGCTCGCTCCTCCTCCCTCTCCTGCTAACAACATGACTCAGGAGACGATATTACTCATAACCGGGGCCTACGATTCTAGCACCTACTCTGCCATTCACGCCCTTTAGAACGACTTTCAGCCGGGAAAAAAAAAATAAAATGTTTCCCAGAAAGCTACTGCAGGGAAAGGCGGCGCAGGGTGTGTGTGTGAGAATTCCCATATTCTTTTGAGACTAGGCATGTGCTAGCCAGAGTTTAGAGATGTCACTTTTGAGACTACCAATCCCATAATCCCCCAGCTAGACAAGCCTCTGGTTATAGTATTAATCTCAAAAGTGCTGCGAGAGTCCACATTTTCCACTCAGCAGAGGACGGCCCCAGAATGCAGGACACATAAGGATGGGCTCAAGCGACAGGAAGCCAGATTTAGGCTAAATATCAGGAAAAACTTCTTCACTGTTAGAGCAGTACGACAATGGAATCAATTAACTCGGCAGGTGGTGAGCGCTCCAACGCTGGAGGCATTCAAGAGAAAATTGGACAACCCTCTGCCAGATCTGCTTTGATTTTCATTCCTGCCCTGAGGAGGGGGTTGGACGCGATCGCCTGCGTGGTCCCCTTCCAACTCAATTATTCAAGGATTCTGTGATCCTCAGAGAGTACCAATGCCTGTCTACTCTATTTAACCTTTTTAAACTTTGCTTATAAGACTAAAGAAGGAGACCCCCTACTGACATATCAAAGTAAAACCCAAGATAACCATTACTTTCAGACTTATCATTTTTTAAAAAATGGCATGAAAGGAAAAAGGACTGGGAGGGAGAAGGAAAATAAAATGCAAATGTGGGTGTATTATAAAGGAAACTGAAGCAGAGCTATTTATAAACAAGAGAGGTGCCTGCCCCACACCCCCTTATTCCTTCCCTGCCACACCTTCCCCAACCAAGGAGAAAGCATTAATGTTTTCACCACTGTCGTGAAACCTTCTCTTGCTCTTCACAGGTAACAAGAAGGTTTCAAACTCTACTGCAGTTGAACCAGAGTTTGCAAGGGCCAAGTGTGGGGACACTTTGCTCTGCAAAGAGAGGGGACTTCATCTGCCACCTCCCTCAAACACAATGAATTGTTATACGCTATCCCTGTTGGAATGCAAAGTGTGAAGCATCGTGGGGAGGTTTCCGAGATGTTCAGTTTCTCTGAAGTTCCAGAGTATCCATAGGATATGATTCACTGTTTACAAATATCTGCAATCAAAATCAATCTTCAGCATAACTTTTTTTCTCCCTCCTTTGCTGACATCTCTGTGTGTTCCTCCCCCCCAAGATATACCAGTTCTTCAAAGGGACATCGCTACCATTTCGGCTTGCATGTCAATTAAGATACAATGGCTTTACAAAAGACCTCCTCCAAGTTACAAGTGGCTTGTCAAAATAGATCAAGAGAGTTAGTTGCCTATCTTTTTTTAAATCTGCCTTGGGGGCTGTCAAGATGAGTGCCAGCACTCTGAAAATGTACCTCTACATCACTGCCATTCTACAAAGAATCACCTGTAGATGGGAAATACAGGTAGAATCTCATTTCTTGTTTGTGGTCTGGAGAGGGTGCATTTATCTCTCTCTCTCTCTCTCTGTCTGTCTGTCTGTCTGTCTGTCTGCCTGCCTGCCTGCCTGCCTGCCTACCTACCTACCTACCTACCTACCTACCTACCTACCTACCTACCTACCTACCTACCTACCTACCTACCTACCTACCTACCTACCTACCTACCTACCTACCTACCTACCTACCTACCTACCTACCTACCTACCTACCTACCTACCTACCTACCTACCTACCTACCTACCTACCTACCTAATTCATTCATTCATTCATTCATTCATTCATTTATTTATTTATTTATACATACATACCCTGCCTATCTGGGTGACTTGTCCACTCATGTCGTGTAAAGAAACATTTCGGCGCCAAGTCAAAACCTTCCTGTTCCAAATGGCTTTTAACTGAAATAACATCAAATGTGGGTCTGATGGCAATTTTTAGAATATATATTTTAATTGCATTTTAATTATTTGCCCTTTTATTTTGCCTTTTTATTGTATTTTAAATGCTGTAAGCCGCCCAGAGACCTTCGGGTAGTGTGGGCGGCATATAAGTTAAATAAACAAACAAACAAACAAATAAATAAATAAATAAACAAACAAACAAACAAACAAACAAACTTGGAGTGTATCTACACTACGCCACTCTTTCAGCTTGCTGCCCCTTCTAGAGGATTCTGGGATTTGTAGTCTGGTAAGAATTCTGTGCTGATGAATCCTAGTTTACCTCCCTAAATGTCAGCAGAGAATTGGTAAGGGCCTCAATAAACTACAAAGCTGGGATTCCAGAGGACGGAGACGTAACAGACAAAGTGGTATTTGATTGCTATACAGTGTGGTGTAGACAAATTCTAAGTGGATGGTTTTGATTCTCTCTCTCTCACTCACACACACAGAGACAGACAGACAGAGAGTGAGAAGAAAACCTTCCAGATGTCATAGTGATCCACAAACTTCATTCTTCCTTTATTTAATTCACAGAAAAGTATCTCAGAAAACACCTCTGGTTTTAAAAATGTTCTATCTGACTGCAAGTGTCCCCAATAGATCTTACATTTCCTGTCTTCTTTCTCTCCCTCTTCTTATACAGTTTGTTTTATCGCTGGTTGAACATATTCCAGCATGTTATTCCCCACACAGTTGGCAGCCTGATGACCCTTGTGCACCAACCTCCTTTGGCCAAAGAATTCCATAAATAAATTAACCAATGCATCCTGCTCTGCTTTATGCCAGCTTCGAGCTACTTTTTGCTGGGTAGGGTTACAAAGACAGACAGACAGAGAGTGAGAAGTAAACCTTCCAGATGTCAAAGTGATCCACAAACTTCATTCTTCCTTTATTTAATTCACAGAAAAATATCTCAGAAAACACCTCTGGTTTTAAAAATGTTCTATCTGACTGCAAGTGTCCCCAACAGATCTTACATTTCCTGTCTTCTTTCTCTCCCTCTTCTTATACAGTTTGTTTTATCGCTGGTTGAACATATTCCAGCATGTTATTCCCCACACAGTTGGCAGCCTGATGACCCTTGTGCACCAACCTCCTTTGGCCAAAGAATTCCATAAATAAATTAACCAATGCATCCTGCTCTGCTTTATGCCAGCTTCGAGCTACTTTTTGCTGGGTAGGGTCTACACAATGCCTTTAATGAAGGAGATGGCC